TAATTAGAAGTCTTAAGAACAAAACATCGTACCTAAGTACATGAAAACAATATGGTTAAGATACAGTAAACTGCTCTCTCTAGAGACCATAATAGTAACCATTCTTTGCTCAAGGAATATGCGTTCTCTGACATTTAGAAAAAAATTGAAGAAAGTAAGAATAATGGTAAAAAGCGTATGCTGCTTCACACAGGCTTCAAGATAGGAGGCTCTCCCACCTGGCTACCTGTCTAGTGCCCAGTGATTTATCTCATACTCAGGCGAGAGACTGCTATTATCAAGACATTAAGGTGAAAATCAGATAAAAATGAAAAATCAGTATTTTGTAGCTTGGGCATGTATACTCCAAAAGGCAAGGTACAAAGTTAAAACAAGAATATTTTAAATTTATATTTAAATTTATCTGGCTTAAAGCATTCAGAGCACCAATATTTAGCCCTGGAAATACCGTCTTATAATAAAATAGAGTTGAATACGACATTCGTTGTAACAGCAGCGTTAAACTGTAATGATAAGCATGGTAGCTTGAAGTGTCTATAACTGAGAGGGTCAGGAAGAATCGTAACAGAAAAATATAAAAAGTGGACTGCCTAAGGAAGTGTAATATATTACACTTGCAGTAATTTCTGGACTTTTCTCTCATTGAGTATAACAAAACCTGATCCCTTCATGTCTTTAAAAAACATATATTAAAATTTTCATGGCAGTTGTTTTACTTGGCTAGGACACTGCCATTTTCTTTCTTGGTAAATAAACATATTTTCTGCAGCATTAGCCATCTTAGGCACTGCCTCCTTATAAATTAAATTCCATGTATTGAGGAAAGAGAAGAGAAAAAGGCATATAAAGCAGAAAGATGAACACATTTTCTTTAGTGTTTGAAATACCATGAAACACATCAAGAAAATCAAATATGGATAGCACAGTATAATTTTCAAGCACAACTGCTCTAATGTATGAGTGGTTCTTAAACCAACAGTGTCTGACCTCAAAAGATATTTGTGAGACTAAAATTTACAATGCAGACAAGCCTAATTTGGAGAATCCGAGGCAGAAGGTGAAGAAAGCATATTTTCAATACATTCCGCAATATCAAAAGGCCAATTATAAAATAATACAGAATCTGTAGGGAGGCATCAGAATGAATGTGTGTAACTGATCTCAGAGATACATAGTTGGTTCAAGCCTAATCATTATAGGTTTTAAAAAAGTCCATTTTGGTTGCTGACAAAGTCTGATTGCTTCTGTAGCTATATAGTTTCAACAATGATAATAACTGCAAACATTCACTGAGTATTTAGTTCTTAGGTATTGATACTTATGTGCATTATCTCATACAATCCTCCTAGCAACCACATACAACAAATACTCTTATTATCTTGCTCTTACACATGAGAAATCTGAGGCACAAAGCCTTTAACTTACTAAAGGTTCATGGCTAGTAAGTGGTAGAGGATGTAAATCTAGGCAGTCTGCCTCCAGAAAATGCATCGTTTACCACTATACATTATTAACTAAATTACATGACTAACATAAGGTAAACTTGAACACTAGGTGATTTGTCATGTGCCCAATAAGACTACAAAAAATTTTTTTTATCAATTTGAACATATACACATTTGGGGATATAGATATAATTATCAACTGTCTAACTGCAATTTTTTTTTTCTAACTGCAATTTTAGCATATTATATATATATATAAAATCACACATTAGGCAAAGTAGTATATTCATTAGAAATACTGCCTTTCTCCCTATTCATACTTGTAACACAATGACAATACAGTCTAGTGGTTTAGCACAAGGACTCAGGACCCAGACAGTCTGGGTTCAAATCTCAGGTCTGCAAGTTATTTACCACCCTGTTCTCAGTTTTACCAAGGGAAAAATAGAGAGTAGCTATCTCATCAGGTTGTTAGGAAAAGCAATTGAGTTCAAAGGTATGAAGTGCTTGGAGCAGTGCCTGGCACATAGTAACTATACCTAGGTAGTAGCTGTTACATTTTTCAAATGCACCTTTGGCAGGAGGGGCTCTGCCATCACTAGAGCCCAGTCCTCTGATGCTGTTTTTTACATTATTTCCCCTTCTGTCTAAGGTAATTGAGATATAGAACTTCTACTATTATCACTGAAATTCTTATTCCAGACCACAACATCCATTCACCTAACATTAGAAATGCTATTTAAGGGAGTATGTGTGGGGGCTTCCCTGGTGGTGCAGTAGTTAATAATCCGCCTGCCAGTGCAGGGGACACAGATTCAAGCCCTGGTCCAGGAAGATCCCACATGCCGCGTAGCAACTAAGCCTGTGCGCCACAACTACCGAGCCTGCGCTCTAGAGCCCACGAGCCACAATTACCGAGCCCACGTGCCAAAACTACTGAAGCCCGCGTGCCACAACTACTGAAGCCCGCGTGCCACAACTACTGAGCCCACATGCCACAACTACTGAAGCCCATGTGCCTAGAGCCTGTGCTCCACAACAAGAGAAGCCATCGCAATGAGAAGCCCGTGCACCGCAGTGAAGAGTAGCCCCTGCTCTCCGCAACTAGGGAAAGCCTGTGCGCAGCAACAAAAAAGACCCAACGCAGCCAAAATAAATAAATAATTTTTTTAAAAAAAGAAGGTATGTGTGAGCTCTACGATGGAAATACTTACAGTGTTGCTTTAAAAATTATCTTTAAAAGGCTTTTTTTAATAAAGCACCATGAGGCACTTGCATATTGAAGTCAAAGTCCCAAGAATAAATATTACATTAGGGTTCAATTTCATTGCCTTTTGAAAATCAGTTCTTTCCAAAAGCATCCAGTGTTGTTACAGGTAAATGTCTTCACAAAACAATAATTTATTGTTCAAAGTAAAATAATTGAAATAACAGTTGCAGAATTTGATGAGGAAACTCTTTTCTAAGGGATAAAGGATAATTTGGGGGAAATATAATTGTCATATTTGGGTTATATAATTAATATTCAGGGATAGTGAAAACAGATCTTGGGCACTTACATTGTTTTTACCATAGTTATCAGGTTTCATAGTTATTATGCGTAACTTGACACGATAAGCACACCACTGCCAAACCCCCACTCATTTGGTGCTCGTGGATATAGCTGAAAGTAGGGGAAAAGTACCTATGCTCAAACCATAATTTCCTGGCACAATTCCCTATGACATATTTTAGCATAGAACAGAAGGGAAAGAAGACAGCTCCAAGATATCAAAGCACAATTTCACTGCCATCATAAAAGGAGAGTTTTCTTGTACCTTTGTGAAGAATGTAAAAGTGTTAGTGTGTAGACTAGCATGATTAAGAGATTAACTATTAAGAGATATTGCTCATGATTAGAATGTTCTTCCCTTTTTTGTTCCAAGTTTAGTAACTGACATACTAGGTCCCAGGGAAGGACTGGGCAGCTGCTCCAAACCCACTTTATGTTCTATTATCCCTTGACCTGGTTGAGGCTTTCTACTCCTAATAAAGCCAGCTCAATGACTTTAACAGAGGTCAGCACATTTAACAAGTACTCAGTTTCCTTTAATATACTTCTCTGGAGCCTATCATGGGGTGGGGGGGCGGGGGCGTGGTGGCGGGTATGACACCAAAAAAAAAAAAAAAGTTTCCAAAAAGAAAAGCCTACCTGACTAGCCATGAAATTGACTGATATTCTCAAAATCCCCAAGCGGCTTCTGCAGGATACCAGACAAACAATAAGGAAAATTTAATCATGTAACAATTTTCTTGCTTGGCTTCTCATTTGGGGCAGGGGTTGGAGAGGAAAGAAAATCCAGTAAACACAGTAATTGCTTTCAGGGACAGAAGCAGAATTTGAGTAATATATTTATCTAACAATTCATTCCTAAGCAAGTAATTTTTAATGCTCATATTCTTGTATTCTATTCAAATTTGAGAGTAATATCTCTTTTGGACAGGAAAAAAGGGAAACATCAGAAGAAACGAGAGACTAGAATTTTTTCAGTAAGATCACTAAGTAGATGAAGCGATAGGTTATCGCATATTTTTGGTAACTAGAAACTCCGCTTCCTAGATAATGAAGCTTAAAGAAAGTACAACCATATAATTTATCAGCCAAACTGGAATATTTTTGAAAATGAAAAGGGGACAAAATTAGTAATTATGTTGGAAAAAACAGGCATAACATAGGACAATGGGGCTGTCCCCACCAAATCAGGATATAGTCATTCCACCTAGAATTCTGCAGATTGTACCTACATCAATAAATTCTAAAATTATTTGTAAAAGGTGGTAAGTTAGATAGTTGCATGAGTAATTTCAGGAATTCTTTGATGGAGTAGAAAACCTCAAAGGGTAGCTGCCTGTTCCTCTCTAGCATACACTCCTTGGTTTTTTGGTTTATGTCCTTTTGCTACTGTTATTTTTGTTTGAAGGCAAGTGTGTTTCTTGTTATCTGTTTATTTTATTTTTACTTGTTTGTTTCATTGGGGGGGGTGTTTGTATGTGTGTGTGTGCTGAGACGCTCTTGCACGCTTTCACCCAGGCACTCGGTCTACTAAGTAACTCTCGCTCTCAAACAGCAACTAACAATTGCTGCGCCTGCGCATTTCTGCCTCCACTGCTAACTAAACCGCCGGAAGCTTTTCCCTCTTCCCATTGGCCCGCTGCTGGACTAGTTCGTCGATACTGCGCATGCTCCATATCGTACCCTTTTTCCCCCGCCCCCCAACTCTCTTCATTGTACGCCCCGGGCGCAAAGTCGCTAACACGCCTGCGCGAGCGGGCGTGCCCCGGAAGCAGTTCTTTAACCTGCTGACACGTAGCAACGGGGCTAGTACAGGGTCCTTAGTTGAGTTTGGGGGGTTACTGGAGGCTGCCGGAGCTGCCGGAGCTACCGCCGCTACCGCCTCCGCAGCCGCCGCCTCCGCAGCCGCCGCCTCCTCCTCCGCTTCCGCCTCCGCCTCCGCGTTTGGTGAGTGCCCAGTTCCGTGGCTCACTGTTTGGTTTTTCCCCGCACCTGGGCAGCGCGGCTTGTTGCCGCCTCTCGGCACCGCGCCCCGGTCCTTTCGCTCAGACCTTCCCTCCCTTTCGGGCCTTGCTTTGACGAGGCCCGTGCAGGAGTCTGCGCTTTCCTGGCCGGCCCAGGCCTTATTTTGCAGGAGGCTGTCGTGTTGTCAGCTGTCCAGAGGTGAGGAATCATCTTTGTTGTTGTTGATATTTTAGACCCCACGAAACCCCTCCTCCCACGTCCCTGCCCCGAACCCAAGGCATATCAGCTCCTTGAAGTGGAGGTGTCTTCTCGGGCCTCGACTTAGAGTCTAGACATTTCTTCAGCACACCCCACCTCCGACCCATCTTCCAAATGCTGCCCCCCAAAATTTTAGAAGTTATTTACTGCCTTCTGAGGGTATTTGCTTAAGTAAAGTATCAGGACCGAATTCAGGGAGGACCTTGGGCATAAGCAGTCTTTGCTGTTTCTTTTTATTGCAGATCATTTGCAATGTCAGGCTTTGACAACTTAAACACAGATTTCTATCAGACAAGTTACAGCATCGATGACCAATCACAGCAGTCCTACGATTATGGAGGAAGTGGAGGACCTTATAGCAAGTAACTTTTCAACTTTGCCCGTTTACGTAGTTGAGATTGCATTGAAAGCATGTACCCCGAATGTTTGGTTCTGCCTAAGAGTGAATGTGTGAACGTGTTCCGTATCAGGAACGTGACTTTTCATAATCTTTATACCTCCGGAGAGATCTGTGACACTTGTTTGGGTTGGAAGGGATTGCCCTATTTAGGGTTTGGTATCTTACGCACAATTTTCAGGTGCGCCATGAGTGGAAAAATAGATTCTAGAAGAACCTTTTTCTAGTGACAGTATTTGTACATCATTTAAGATATGGATAGAAGTTTTAAGTACCTAGAAGATAGGCTGTTTAGGCCACAAGATGAGTTAAAAATTAAAATCTTTTGACAGCTTGTTTAGTAGCTAAATCAGTCCAACTTTCAGACTTTATCAACTGTTAACTGAAAGCACTGAGTGACACTATTGAACAGTGTAAGCTCCGTACTATGAATCATCAGGTGGTTTTCATAAAGCGGCTGATAATCACTTTTATTACTCCACACACCAAAACTTTATGATCAGTCAGTACACACAAATTGCCGGTTACAGACTGAAGTGAGGGGGACTCAAAACCTTTCATCCACGAACTGTTGAAAAAACAAAACCAAAACTCTGTTCTTTTTATAGTCCATGGTGTTTGTGGCAAAACACTTAAAGCTTTTTACCAATCTCCTCTAGGACATCATATTCTTAGTTTCTTAGGTCCTTAAAGTTAATCTTTTCAGCCTGCCATCCAGTGAAGGTGTTTCCTATACCAGGCCTACTTAACCTTTTTTAGACGGTCCAGGACCACTTTGAGAATCTTAGGAAAACTGTGGGCCTATTTCTGAGAAATATGTGCATGCAAACACCCACAGTAATGTGCATATAAGGTCCAGACAGTTCGTGTGTTAGATGTCCATGTATGGACTCTGAATTAAAAACCTAATGAAGATTGTCCCAGGTTGAGGGCATGGAAAGGGTGCGTATCCAATCTGAGAGAAACATTAGTACTAGAATGTGTTTGAATTAATAAATCTGAATGAAAGTGCCCAAGAATTTAAAAAAGCAAAAATCAAATTCAGCCCCACAGTATCATTTGTCTTGTATAGGCTATACTTTTTACAAAACAAAACTCCTTGAATCTGCTTATTTTTTGATACATTCTAAAGCTCCCCCCCACTTTAAAATTCAACACATTGGACAATGGGAGTGAACATGTAAATAATGCTGTCTGTGAACCACTTTTTTCTTTCTTTTAAATTCTCAATTACATGCCATTGAAGATTTATCTCTTTTATCAGTTAATCGGGCAGAATTGGAAAAGTCATGTTGAGAAATTTCCACTCATTTATTTACCTAAATATGTGTTTCTTGTGATTGTTCAGTGTATGACAGGGCAGATGAATATAAGATTGGTCAGGGTGCTGCAACAGGGGTTTGGAAAACCTGTCTCTGTATGTGGGCCTGTTTTTAACCAAATGATATTGATGTTTGGACTCAACAGAATTATTCCATTTAGATTGCAGCCTCCTAGCTTTATCTGTCTCTGCCTTTCTTTCCTATGTTTCTTTCTTTCTGTCCATGTTTGCATCTCTTAAAGGTGTGACTTATCTTTTCTTTACACTTAGCATCTCACTTCAGTTCTCCACAGAGCAGAATATCTAAAGATATTCTCTTGCTAACTATTCTCACAATTCCGTTCCAACCAAATCATGTACCACTAAGCATTGCTTCTGTACTAGTGAAAAAGTTTCATTCCAGGTGCTTATATAAACATTACTGCCAGTTAATGAATGTGACTTTATAGATGATGCTTAGGAAAATAAGAAGCCTAATGTGTTAGCAGTAATGACTGGGTTTCTGAACTTTATAAAAAAAAAAAATTGAACTCCTCTATATGTACCTATGTGTATTGTTTCTGCACCCTAAGGACATTTTTATGTCTGTGTCAGTTTATCAAATAACATTTTGTTTGTTACGCCAACTTGGTAACAAGGATCAGCTAACTTTTATCTCTCTATTGATGAAAATCTAGGTTCACATAGCATCTGACTTGGATTGTCTTCAGATTTGACTTGACTTATTATTAGTCCCTAGTTCTACATTTGCCCTATGAAGTCAGCTTTAACATTTTGCATAATTTCCACTCTGGGTACTGTACATTTATACATTCATACAACAAAAAATAAACCCAAATAGTAAAAGGTCGTTTGATCTCAATCTGTCATATTGGACAGGTTCCACATTGTATTCTAGATATACCTATAAAATATTTAGTAATACCAATTACATATTTTTTAAAGTCTTGAAAGCTAGTATTTTTTCATCTTCCAAAATAGCTAATAACACCTTTATGGACTATGTAAGGATTTTGATGAACTTAAGTAGTCAACCCAGTATATTAAGACGCTTTTTGTCTTTGTTGTTGATACTGAGTGCTTCTCAGAGTATTGGTTTACATCTGCTGCTTTTCCTGCTGTAAAAGTGTTGATTTAGACTATAAAGGTCATGTCTACCATGCGGTGTTTTAGTTTAAAACCAACAGGAGTGAGTCAGGAATTTTCCTGAGCAGATCCTGCCAGAAAAGAAAAATTGTAAAATTCCACGGTGTTGTCTTTGTCACCTTATATCCTGAAGAAGGAATGATGGTGCCACCTTTAAAGCTCTTATTTGTTTGCAGTGTTTCTTTTCCTTACATGAAATTTATGGATCTGCATCAGTGTTTCTGAAGTGTGGCCTGCAGACCCAGAGGGTTCTTGAGACCTTTCAGGAAGACGTTAAGGTCAAAACTATTTTTGTAAAAATTCTAAGATGTTATATATCTTTTTAAGTGTGTTGAGATTGGCACTGATGTTGCAGAAGTAATGACTGGTAGAACTGCTGTTACCCAAATATGAGGCAAGACAATGGCATCAAATTTTTCTAGTAATCGTTGTATTCTTCATCACACACTTGTTGGGGGGGGTGAGGGGAATCATTTTCACTTAAGGATGCCCTTGATGAAGCTGCAAGAATTATTGTTTTATTAAATGCTGATCTTGACAACACACATTTTTAGAAAAGTCTGTGTGACAAAGTGGGAAACAGTCCTCAAGCACTTCTACTTCATACTGAAGTACAATGATTATCTCTAGGAAAAGCCCGTGTACAATTTGAGTCACAAGTTGATTCAGCCACTTTTTTGTGGAAACCATTTTTATTGGAAAGAACATCTGACAGACAAACTATGGTTATTCAGACTTGAAAAATTTCTCAAAAATGAGTGAAGTGACCTGTTACTTCAAGGAAAACAATTGACAGTATGTGTGGCCAAAAATCAATTTCAAGTTTTCAGGCAAAAATGAGGATTTTGGAAAACTTGTATCCATCATTGTGAACTTGTCAGCTTCCCAATAATTAACCATTTTCTGATGAAATCAGTGGTGATATTAACAAAGCTGATTTTTAAAAATTTATATATATATTTTATATTAAGTGTGTCAATATTTGGAAGAGCTGCATAATTCATACTAATATTTTCTAAATGAGCAATGCATGGTGTTACAAAATCATACATGAATAATAAAGGATCCAATTAAAGTATAAGACAGATCAGTTTATTCTAATACAACAGAGTTCATTAGCATTGTTTCTATCTCCATGTTGCAAGTTAAATTTAAAAAACTACCACTTTGCTTTGCATTTTGATGTATCAAAAAGAATATTTGCTCTATGCACGTGGGAAGATGAAGATGGCCGAACAGGTGACCAAGTCAGTGCTGTTCATGTGTCTGGGTAACATCTGTCAATCATCATTGCAGAAGCAGTTTTCAGGAAACTTGTAACAGATCAAAACATTTCAGATACTTGGGTCATTGACAGTGGCGCTGTTTCTGACTGGGACGTGGGCCGGTCACCAGATCCAAGAGCTGTGAGCTGCCTAACAAATCATGGCATTAACACAGCGCATAAAGCAAGACAGGTTACCAAAGAAGACTTGGCCACTTTTGATTATACACTATGTATGGATGAAAACAGCTGAGAGATTTGAATAGGAAAAGTAATCAAGTTGAAAACTGCAGAGTGAAAATTGAACTACTTGGGAGCTACAATCCACAGAAACAACTCATGATTGAAGATCCTTATTATGGTAATGACACTGACTTTGAGACTGTCTACCAGCAGTGTGTGCGGTGCTGCAGAGCCTTCCTGGAGAAGGTTTGCTGACCTGGGTCCAGTCCTGCTGTGGCCCAGGCTCATCCCACAGGCCCGCATTCTCAGTCAGGTGTCACAGTGTCACCATTCCCTAGCCAAGGCTGCAGCCCTTTCTTCAGTTAACTCACTGTTTCTTACCTTAAAAAATAATTGTAGATGGAAATCGGTTGTTGTATTTGGCGGAAGAATAAATAAAAATTTTTGATTTAGACAGTTTATGGGGTAAGTGTTCTTAGACTGGTTGAACCTCCCACTTTGCCCCAGTTACAGAAATAGTGGAACAAACAAAATAGTAGAGCAGCAAAATAGAGCATAATGAAGTAAAACATCACTGTAAGGCCTACCAGCATCTGAGCCCATTGGCACTTCAAGAATCTGCACTACCTCTTCCCTCTGTGTGGATGGGGGCCCTGCCCTGCACTCCCTCTTGATGTCAGGGCCTGGTGTCCAGTGATGTTGGCAAGAAGTGTTCATATATGCGCAGGGTGCACACTTGTGCATTTACAGGAGAGGAAGGAAGAAGATTTGTGGGATTAATCTTCAGCACCTTCACTCCTTCGTTTGTGTCTGTCTCGTTGATTTCATACGGAAGTCAGCTTAAGTGCTCCCGTTTGAACCACTTTGCCTCTGGAAATGTAATTATGTCCGGGAAGAAGGACACTTGTGTGCTGGTTTACCTTAGGGTCAGTTTGGGGATGGCGTCTGCTTTTACATGCATGTAATTAACCTGAATGTCAAATTTAGATCAGCTTAGGTGGGAAAAAAATAATAAGTGGGAAAAAGTCCTTGTATGTTGGAATGCTTAAATATTGATATGTTAAGTATTCTTTTATCAGTGCTTAGTTTATAGGCAAATATAGGTAATTTCTGTGCACTTGGAGATAGGTGATCTAAAATTCACATGAATATATGTCAGAAAAGATTGTTTTCAAATAAACTGGGGAAATTACAAAAATACAACTAAGGTAAAAAAAAAGAATATTCATGATAATCTGGAAAGGTTATTAAAATACTCTTTTCCAACTACAGGTCTGCAACACTAGATTTTCTTCAAATACTTCAACTAAAACAGTATATCACAACAGAATGAGTGCAGAAGCAGATATAAGAATTTGCAGCTGTCTTATATGAAGCCAGACATTAATGAGATTGTCAAAAATAGAATACAGTGCCACTTTTCTCAGTAATTTTTTTAAATAATTTTTTCATAAAAATGTTTATGCTAACATGTAATGGATTTATTGTTACTTTAAATGAATTAATAAGTATTTAAACATTTCTGTTTTAATTTCTAAAATAATAAATATTGATAGATATAACCCACATAAAAAATTTTAGGAGTTCTCAATAATAAATTTTAAGAGTATAATGGGTTCTAAGATCAAAGACTTTGAGAACCACAGGTTTATGTCATTCTTGTTTTTTCTGTTGCATACACATTGATATTCTCTCTCTTGCTCTCTTTGGAGAGAGAGAGTATAAAATGCAATTTGTTTATGCAGATTGTAGAAACTTCCATATGGAGCTTTTCTAGCTCTTTCATAAACTCCAAGGTGGGTTTATGATGCATCCTAACAGAGATCAACACAATAGCATATTTTACTAAATCAGAAAATGTGAGTTCTTGTCCTAATTCAACCAGCTAGCCCTGTGGAAACTCCGTGTGTGTGTGTGTGTGTGTGTGAGAGAGAGAGAGAGAGAGAGAGAGAGAGAGAGAGAGAGAGAGAGAG